TAAACAGGAACACGATAATATGAAAGAACGGTTGAAAACAAGATTCGATAGTGCAAAGGCGATGCAAAAAAATCACGGTTTCATTTCTGTGGGAGAAGAGGAATTATTGATTAAGAGATATTCGTCTGAGACTACGGGCGAAGTTGTTCCAAAGGCGAAGAAACAAAATGGACGACGTACATTAAGATAGCCATTGTGATTCAGAAAAGTTCAATTTCAAAATGCTTTTTCTCTATAATTTAATGTTTATTTCTCAAATTACAAACTTAAAACAGACATATACTCCATGTTGATCTAAAAACGCATCAAATATTTGGTACTTTGCGAATTCTCATTGTCGTTTACGTAAGTAGAGCTGTTAATAATCAATAAATTCTTTTTTCTATAAAAAACGTTTTTTATCGATCACTACTTATGCATCTTATCTTCAAATTATGCCGAAAAATTGCATGCTCATCCTTTCATGAGGCATTCATCATTTTTCAGGAACAAAATACGGAAAATCTAATTTTTCATGAGAAAAAAATTTTTCTCTCATCTCCATATGGCTATCCCATTTTGAAATACCCCGAAAAAGTTGAGTAATATCATTATCCATCGAAGGAAAAAAAATTACTCGATTTTCGAATGGCCCTTGCATAACAGAAGGATTTAAATAACAAAAAACTTAAAAAATGACTCATTATTCTTCCTCGTGGTACTATCGTATTTTTATTCCAAAAGTTGTAACGTGTTATTTTCGTTACAAATCATTTCATGGTTTTTCGTAGACCTTCGCGTGGTTTTTGGGGTTTTAGATTGGTTGCCACCAGACTTGAAGTCAAACCTACCATTCAACGAGAGTCATTTATTTTTTAGAGTTAATTTTGTATGACTGATTATTTTGTTTTGTATTTGAATTTTGTACGAAGTCACACGCTCAATGATTGGAGGACTTGTTGGACTACGAGGGACATCGAGGGATGATTGGCATGAACGTCAATTCCCATTTGAATTCGATAGAACCTGGAGTATCTACCGAGTTACATAAAGCTTCGAACGTTGACCGTGAGAGTATGGCGCTGAGAGGACCTTCGTTGCAGAACAGATGAACGAGTGGCGAGTCTACATTAGAGGGACTGCTACATCATCGAAGCCTGGACGTGCCGATGAAATACTATGATTTATCAAGATCAATTAAATGATTGGAGGTAGCCGGAAGGGCTTCAAGACTATTTATGATTTGATGACATTATTTGAATTGTAATTGGAATTATGGTCTAGTTGGAATAATTAATTTATTCAATTCATTTGGTCATGCGCAGGTGCAAAGTTAGTAGCGCGCAGGCGTGAGATTTAGGTCCAATCATAATTGAGAGTAATGGTCGTATTGCGAGGGCCAATGAAATTAATTGCCGCGCAATTGAAGATCGCGTCGATACCTGTCATAGTCGAGCGATCATTTCTGTTCTGGTGGTGACGGCGTGCACATGTTTCGCAAGCCTGTCGAAATTTTTGTGTCCGATGCCATTTCAGAAGCCATGTTGGGCTTTGGCGTCCTTTGGGTATTTCTCCGGGTTTCCTTGGAATTTCTGGAAGTCACTGGGACGTTTTGAGACCTGCCATGCAGCCGGGAGTTCTTTGGGATTTTCGTCTGGACATCGGTGAGCGTGGTGATTAAACATTTTGGTATTTTGTGAGGGTAAAATCGAGTCAAAATGTTCGGCGTTTCGCACGCCTTTGAACGACTCTGTTTGATAGTGACGAGATTTTATCCGCCCAGAGAACACTTTTCCTTTGAATCTTTTAGTTATATTGTTTTCGTTAAAAACTCTCATTCGTTAGAGATATTAGTTCGTTCGGAATTTTAGAATTTTGATTTCATTATTTTGTTTTGGTTCAGAATTTTGTACGTTAGATTCATCCATTCTGTGAACCATTGAGGTTTCGTAACCCTGGAGATTTTGAAGTATTTCATTTCGGTTACGATTGGGCTCTCGTTGGATGGTATTTAACTTGGATAATTTCGAAGGACATTGAACGTGGGTTACTGTGTGTCTCGTGACTTAGCTTCGTTTCGCTGGCCTCATGTCTTGAGTTTTCGTAGTCGTTTCGGACAGCTAGCTTTACTTGTCACGGAGACTAATTTTTGGGTTTCGATCGTTCAGTGTCGTTTAATCTACATGAGTATTGACGATATTTCGATTCTGATTTTTTATGATTCTTGTGACATTGTTTTTGACTTTTGATTTGTTTTTTTTACTTTTGGATAATTAGATCTTTCAATTTGATTATCAGAATTGGTTTTGACTAATTTGACTAAGTGTGCACTTTCTGATTTTTGTTAAAAAAATCTTTTATTATTTTGATGATTGTAGTTATTTAATTTTGGAGTCATATGATTGTTGATCGGTTGAAACAACCAAATAGGGGGTTTTGAATTAATTTATATTGAAATGTATCGAGTCGTTAAAATTTTATTAAATACTGTGATTTTTCCCCCGCAATTCTGAGTTTAATTTATTTGTTTTGTTCACCTAGTCACATCTCTAGTCTAAGCTCTTTCAGGGACCGATACACGTCTCTTCGTCTGGAGCTAGTGGAAGACCGTTTCGAGCTTAGGGCTAGTTTGATTTTGTTTTTTTCGTTCCAGTGGTCGTTCTGGTAATAACGACCTGGCGCTCAACTTTTTGTCGTTTTAGTTTCTACGTGAGTGCCAGAGGGCTGCGTATTGGACCGAGGGGTTCCGTGAACCTTGGAAATTAAGTCACAATACACACATACATACAGACAGTGCCTAAAAATTGCATTTCTCGATGTTTCATACAACCCTGAATCATCTCCACACAAAATTAGAAAATCTTGAAAAATTGCAATTACAAGGCTTCCATTCGAAAGCAAAAAGTATNTTCATCAAAATCGGCCAATTTGTTCGCACGATACGATTTCTCAAAAATTTGAGCGTTTGTTATTTGTCCTGGCCAAACAATGAATGTTAAAGGAGCGAAAATTTAGAGAAAGTATGTACTCATGTAGTACTCAACTGGGAGCATGCTAATTCAAGATTCTGAGAACCAAAAAATTCCAGGGTGGCTGAGTTGACATGGAATGTCCCATATGCAGTAATACTCACTCATGGTAATAGCTGTACTGAGCTTCAGAGGAGCTGAATGAGGCAGCAGATGATACACGGCTGATTACTTGTAAGGACTAGTAGTCCAGTAAAAATAGAGTGAAAAAGTCGGCTTATGGCAAGTTGACGTTCAGTGCTCGGGGAGGTGTCAATCGATAGATAAAAATTCCATTATTAATATTCTCATTCGTATATGTGCGGAGTTTCCCAGTTAATTAATAATTAATTAAAAACAATCGAATAATTGTGCCAAGCCACTTTCTGTTCGTGATTTCTCCAATGTCACTCATTTAATCAAAAAGAAAAAAATACTACTTTGTAGCTAATAAAATTTGCTATCGAATAGAGTTAGGAACTTATATCGAGAGATGTACGGTTAATTTACGATAAATTTTACAAGTTCTTTTGGATAAATTAACGCCAAAGCGTCCGCCATTCAAGTCCCCCGAGTCACGTGATTCGCGCCATGCGCAGACTATTCAAACGTCCGCTCCGTGCATTCATCATCAACTCAGTTTCAACAACAGTGTAATTTNGCCATACGTATAAAAATTGCGGTTTCTAAAAATTGGAAATGTCTATTAGCATTTAAAAAATGCCTTGAGGGTCACAATTGAAGATTTCAAGCTTCAAAATTGAGTGTAAAAATTATCGGTGATGACAATATAATGGGAAAATCGAAGGTTCAAGAAATAGACAGAGGGGCTGAGCAATTGACCTGCTGTTTGGGCCGTTACCTGAATAGCAGGGGGCAGAGTAAAAGAAGTCCATATTCGGAGAGATTATAGAGGGTCCTTGTAGGGGAGTGACTCCCACAAAATATGTGTGATTTCTGTTTTTTTCTCATTCAATCGCTAGAAATTTGTCCTAAGTTTCATAATGTTGAAAAAAATTATATATAAAAATCCCTGTTGAAAAAAAAA